TCAGGTTTTTTTGTTACAAGACAAGAATGTTTTTTACCACACATCTGTTTCTGTCTCATAAACATAACAAATAAACATATTTTAATCAAGCAGTGTACAATATCTCCTTCTTTAGAAAGTGTATATATTTATTGATTCCCGGTCGGAACATCTGTTTATTAAAGCAAAAACTATTTTTTGTATGAGGTACCTGATCCTTTAATCACTTTTTAACATTCAAGTTGTCAGAAACAGTTAAAAAGTTGATTTATTTTTCGATGACTTTCCACCACTAATCGTTACTGCAGAACGAAAGCACAGATAAAAGGCTGACAAGGAATCCATAATCCTTCCATTTCTCGGCACCTTGCGCAATAGCAGGTATTTGCTGGCGTGATTTTGGACCTTGTTTTCACTTGGTATTTAAATGTTATAACATATTGGAGAAAAAGTGTTTGTGTTTACCTTATATCCTATCACATTGGAACAGACATGTGACTTAAGTCATTTGGTCCTAGTCTCAAAAAATTCCTTAGTCACTTGTAATTGTCAACATAAGAACATTATGATATGAGACTGTAAATAATAAACCTTATATTTAACAATTATTGTGCTGTTGTCTTTATGTTGAATGTATGGATAAGAGTAGATTTGCATTCAAATTCACGGGGACAAAATCAGGCATTAGGATCAAATACATTTATTGGAATGCCTTACATTAAATTCCTCAGACTGGTTGAATTTTAAAGCCCCATGATTATTCTGATTGAGCCAACATTTGACTTCAGAGCTCCCCAGGCGGAGTGGTGTAGGTAATCCCCTTTCTCCAGCATGTACTGGCGACCACAGAAGTTAGGATGTTCATAGAAAATCCAAGAGCCTTCCAGGACCTTGCAGGATTGGACCTGATGTCTGAGCCATTTCTCCTGGATAGACTTTGTGTTTTCTGTCAACTCCAAAGAATGGCCCTCAAAGTTTGGCCGGTCAAACACCCTCAACTTGCAAGTCCCTTTGACCTGAAACCAGAAACAGAAGATATTGTTTTTTAGGAAGACTGTGTGATAAGTGTTTGTTGTTGTTGTTAGAGCACTTACATTGTTGATTATCCTGCAGGATCTGACACAGTCATTGAAGCCCATCCAGTGACGGTAGTCATTGTACTCCCCGGGGCCAATGACATACTGGTAGCCCATGAAGCTGTTGCGCTCGAACAGAACCCACCATCCGGCCTCTACTTTGACCGAGTTGCAACGGCGGATGAAGCCCTGCAGGTCAGCCGAGTTCCCTTTGCAGACGTAGGACTTTCCATGGAAGTCCCGGTCCTCGTAAAACACAATCTGAAAGTAATCCATAAAGAAAATAATTATAGGTTTAACAAAAAGAGGGTTTTATCTTCAACGGTGTTTGCATTCAATAAAAACAATTTTATAAAACAACTGACAATTAGGTTTCTTGCACAAAATTTAGAAAAGTATTAGCTCCTGCAGCGATAAAAAACATATTTAAAATACTTTACTCACATTCTCCATCTGTAGCTCTCAAAATACTACATCCTGTAACAAACGCAGTACTCTTTATACATGGCAGCGACAATACTATGCATGGTTAGCAGATCATGTAATAGTTATTACAATCCAAAATATTCATCTAGAGTCTGCCCATTGTTCTCACTTACTGAATTGCCTTTCTACACACAATGGCTGTTTAGCAGTGCCAAGTATCTGAGCGTCAGTCGTGGCTCATCCCAAACTGATCTGGACCGCTGCAATAAAAGTGTTTTGTTTATGAGAATTTTAAAAAACGCTTTTATGTATGATATTACATTACATTACATGTTACTTGTTAGACGCTTTTATGTGTCTTGCCCAGGGACATGCTGACTGTAGTGGGGTTTGAACCTGTGATCCGAACACCAACTACACCACACGCCTCCCATATATAATGTTGGCTTTTATTATCAAAAAGTGAAATACAGATAAATAAAGTATGTAATTATTATGGTAACACTTTATATTAACCTGTTAAGCACTGAGCCTGTTTTTCAGGTCTCAGGCTCGAAAATGACATTCCCAGAACAAATGACCATATCCTCCCTTCTAAACGGGTTAAATTAATAATCTTTTTTCTCAAAGTAATGATAAACCTGTGAGTTGGATGTGGAAAATTCAGAATCAATATAGATGTTTTTTATTTTAAACAAAATGCAGATTGAACATAACATTATTTTTTCCTTATAGTGAAAACTACCCAAAGTACAACATATAATAAGTACCCTGTATCAAGATTGATGCAAAACAAGTGACATTTGACCTTTTTAGAGAAGTTTAGCAACAAAAAAACACTTCTGGGGTCATTTGGGTGGATTTTCCATATCTCTGGTCCCCCTTGGTCGATTTTGCTGATTGACATCTCTCTCTAACCGTCAGAGCCGATGGAATCGAGGGAAAGTTCCCCATACACACAGCTTACCAAATAAGGAGTGAGAGAGACGCGTAGAAAAACCGGAAGCTGCGCTACCCTCTGGTGGCTACCATTAGCAGCTAATTTTTCTTCTCCGATTTTTGCATACAAATTGAATTATGGATTATCAATATTTTTTTCAAAGTGACAGACACATTGCTATAACCTATGTATTAACCTTCAGCCGCATTTTTTCTCGTTTTAATGCCATTGAACACGACTTTTGATCAGAATAACAGCTAAGGTTAGCATATCTCCGTGTTTTCCTACCTAAAGCTACGTTGTGTGTTGTCTGTATTTACTTCCCCTGTCACGAGTTCTGAACGCTCAGTGATGATCCTTATAGTTCTATAATCTGTGGACTCTCAGGATGTTATCTAAACTTGTTTGTGCAGATCCAATAAGTATATCGATCAGTGTAGCTAGAGTTCTGTGCTAACGGCCTTAAGATTGTTTCGCTCATAGCTAATTCAGAGGCTTGGCGTTAGCTTTGTAGGGTTTAAAAAAAGAAATAAAAAAAAGATCAGTTAGCTGAGTTTCTTCCCGTTACATGGATATAAAACATTCATAGTTTATTGAATATTAAGATGCCCTCAGACGCTGTTTCCTGCAGATGACGCGTTTTTCCCCCCGGTATCGGGGGTGCTGTGTAGAAGAGGTTTTAAGGTACACAAATTAACCATCAACTAGTTGTTAATTAACATGCATATTAGCAGTATATTGGCTCTTTATTAGTCATTATAAAACACTTATTAATGCCTTAATACACAGTCTTCCTAAAAAACAATATATTCTGTTTCTGGTTCCAGGTCGAAGGGACTTGCAAGCCATACCTAATTTTGAATTATTTAGACCCAATTAACACTTACAGTTTCATGTCTTGTTATATAAGAATAGATCATATTTGTAAGTGTTATTATGGTAGAATTACTATTCTTGTGGTACTACTGCCTTATTAGGCCCATATTGAGCAGATTGATTGATTGATTGATTGAAAAGTTTATTAACAGCTTGTATATTGGGTACAGTACAGTACAGCTCAAAACATACAATTGTTAAGGGGATGCAGACCAGAGAAAGACTTTCGTCTTGTTTACATCAGGGTCCCCCATTTCCAATTCATCATGCAGAGCATATTAAGACCAAAACTCATGTACAACAACTTCCTTACTTGCAATAAATAAGCACTAATTAGAGGGTTATTGAGGAAAAACTCTCAACTAATGGCTTATTACTTGTAGAATATGATCATGCAGAATAAGGCATTAATAAGTGTTTTATAATGACTAATAACGAGCCAATATACTGCTAATATGCATGTTAATTAACAACTAGTTGATGGTTAATTTGTGTACCTTAATATAAAGTGTTACCAAAGTTATGCTACAGAAGAACCCCCAACAACATGGTATACATATTTTTGTAAGTTTAGCATTTGCATGTGTCTGATCACTGAAGATGCCCTTTAGCTCCGTAAAAGCTTGTGTATGATAGTTCTGTGTTGACAGGGTAATTGGTGAAGCATTTTTGGGTAACTAAAATATGTCTAAATATCGTTGATATTGACATTATTCACAATTATCCATGGCTAAACCCTTGCAATCAACTTGGTGCGATATCTGTAATGTTTTACACTAACACAGTAATCGATGGATTGTCAGTGCAGACTATGGAAACATGGAAAGTGCTGAGAGTAACGTTTTCTAAAAAAAAATGTGTTGAAAAACAAAGGACACACGCATTGTGTAATCAAAGATAAAATATGTGTACAATGTGATGTCTTTTTGCAACCTCCATAAGCACCACAGTAAACAAGATCAAAAATATTTGATAAAGATGAACTATTGTCATTCATACTATTAACAGGGTAACTGCAGATAATGATACGTAAACATGTTTTTTGGTCTTAAGATTACATTGTGAGGTTTAATTTAATTTCAAACCTTTATTTATGCAGGTGAATCCCATTGAGATCATTGATCTCTTTTTCAAGGGTGACCTGAGGATTACATTCAAGCATCCTAAATCCGGATATGTGCAGAAACTTTTGATGGCCACTGTCGAACATGATGCATTTTTTAAGTTTTCAGTCAACGTTTCTAACTGTGTGTTAAGTTTGAACTGCAATCAGTCTGTCTAAAGATGTTTACTGGTGGACACAAGAAGACAAGACTAAGTGTCTTGAAACTTAAAAAGGAGGAAATACACACTGCACTGTTATGGGAAATTATTTTTTTTATTTTGTTTTTGGAAAAAAGGTCAGATGTTTAAATTGAAGAAGTAGGTAGTTCTTTTCATCTTCACTTTCTGGAACTCTTCATCTCAACTTCTTGAGATGTTGTAGAACTGACTCAAGAATTCCGGAACTTCAGTGGTGTAGAATTCTGGAATCTTGGGGGGAATTTGTAATAAGTGATTATCATAGGACTTTGGAACCTAGTAAGTGTTCTAGAACTCCAAGCTCTTACATCAAATTTTATAAAAAATTCTAGAACTTTGGTGTCCTGAAAATTCAAATAGCTCTTTTAGGGGCTGCAGAACCCTGAATTGATTATGTTGTTCTAGAACTTCGTGATCATGCGGAAGGATCCCACAGCAGGGGACGTGGCGCCCCAGTCGGTGTAGTTGTTGTACTCGCCACGTTCCAGGAAGTACTGGTGCCCGCAGTAGTTGGGTTGCTCGTAGAGGACCCACGCACCATCCATAACCACAGAGGAGTGAACTTCCTGGAACTTGAAGGTCTCGTAAACAGATGCGCAATCCTCAACACACTCTGCAGCCTGACCTTTGAAATCCTTCTTTTCGTAGAATCTGATCTTCCATGACTTTCCATATACCTTGAAAGAGTTAGATAATTAAAGTTAATTAAATTATGTAAGCATTTCATATCTGTTTTGTTTGCCATATTTCCATTTCACATCTACAAATTGTTTTCTTGGCTTTTTTCCTAGTTTCCTTCAATAATTGATGTGCATTGGCATGGACAAAAAGCATCATGCTGCCAAAGCATGAGCCTTTTATCCCTTTTGGCCTTTGACTAATTATAGCTTGGTTGGTGCACTCTGTTGTATTTGACTGGAGCCCGGCATACTCCTGCAAAATAGTTAACCTAGATATTTTTAAAATGTTAATAATGTTGTGTTAGTAATCTACTACTCAATTGAACTTTACCATATCAACAGATTGGTGTAGTAAGCTTAACCCAGATTGATGACACTATTGAATTAGTAATAATATTAAAGGAAATAGACAAGCATAAATTCAGTATGACTTGCATTGCTGTGTAATCTGTTGGCTGTGTTAAAAAAAAACACCTTGTGGTAACTGTGCTTACATTTTGGATAGAGCGGCATGACTTTATGCTATCATTGAATCCCATCCACTGTTGGTGATCAGGGTATTTCCCGGAGCTCAGGATGTACTGGTTGCCAGTATAGTTGGGACGCTCGTACAGCACCCAGCAGCCACTCTCCACCTTAACGGAGTTGCAGCAGCCGAAGTAAGAACGCAGGTCAGGACAGTCGGTGCAGCACTCATGGCTTCGGCCTTGGAAATTCTTATCCTCGAAGAATGCAATCTGGATTAAAGGAAGCAGACAGATACTGGTAAACTATCGTTGCAGAAAGGCAAACATACAATTACAGAGTATTTTTGTGCCTGGCTGCCATTAAAATGACAACAAGCTAGAGATATGCAATATAGTTACTGGCTGAAAGATGAAAACTAATAGTTAACCGCATTTGCTCCTTACCTTCCCCATTGTTACTGGTATTGCTTGCCTGCCACCAACTGCAGCTGTGTTGTGGTTTATATCGAAATACAGAATGTGCAGACGAGGGGAAGCTTTTGTTATCTAAATTAGCCTGATTTGCATATCAGCAAAATGGTTTGGTCAAGTTTGATTTCCTCTTGTCCACATGAGATAACCTCCTATCAAATAATTGCCAAAACTGACATATAAAAGACGACAGTCATGTTTAATGATCATTATGTGTATTATTGCCATTGAATTAGCTCTATCAATTGATCATTGGTATGTTATTTGGTCTAATATTTGGAGGGGGGTTTTTTCGAATAGGAAAACAATTGTACATTTGGCTATCTTAAAAGAGGAGATTACAGAATATGATCCCAAGACAAATGCAGTCCTTAAATGTTGGACACTAGTTGGCTCTACCTGGAAACTGTGACCTCCTATCTTTAATTCCAATATTTCATACCTGCATCTTGTTTTGGAGATGGTTAAAGACCTACTAGTTACAGGTTGTCAGCCAAACAATAGCATGCATATACAATGCAATGTAAACAAAATAAATCTTAAAGAATTCGGAACAACTACAGTTGCAAGAAAAAGTATGTAAACCCTTTGGAATTACCTGGATTTCTGCATAAGTTGGTCATAAAATGTGTTCTGATCTTCATCTAAGTCACAACAATAGACAAACACAGTCTGCTTAAACTAATACCACACAAACAATTATATGTTTTCATGTTTTTATTGAACACACCATGTAAACATTCACAGTGCAGGGTGTGAACCCCTATGCTAAAGACTTCTTCAAGAGCTAATTGGAGTCAGGAGTCAGCCAACCTGGAGTCCAATCAATGAGACGAGATTGGAGGTGTTGGTTAAAGCTGCCCTGCCCTATAAAAAATACACACCAGTTTTGAATTTGCTATTCTTAAGAAGCATTGCCAGATGTGAACCATGCCTCGCACAAAAGAGCTCTCAGAAGACCTACCATTAAGAATTGTTGACTTGCATAAAGCTGGAAAGGGTTACAAAAGTATCTCTGAAAGCCTTGATGTTCATCAGTCCACGGTAAGACAAAGTGTCTATACATGGAGAAAGTTCAGCACTGTTGCTACTCTCCCTAGGAGTGGCCGTCCTGTAAAGATGACTGCAAGAGCACAGCGCAGAATGCTCAATGAGGTGAAGAAGAATCCTAGAGTGTCAGCTTGAGACTTAAAGAAATTTCTGGCACATGCTAACATCTCTGTTGACGAATCTACGATACGTAAAACACTGAACAAGAATGGAGTTAATGGGAGGACACCACGGAGGAAGCCACTGCTGTCCAGAAAAAACATTGCTGCACGTTTGAAGTTTGCAAAAGAGCACCTGGATGTTCCACAGCACTACTGGCAAAATATTCTGTGGACAGATGAAACCAAAGTTGAGTTGTTTGGAAGGAACACACAACGCTATGTGTGGAGAATCCAAAGGGTTCACATACTTTTTCTTGCAACTGTATAATAAAACATCTATTTCATTTAACTACACATCGTTTTCAACCCTTAGACTGACTTTTCTTCTAAGTTTAATCCAATCAAAGCCGCAATGTCATTGCTTCATAGATAAAATCACCATTAAGTATTTTGGGATGTTATTAGTTACTCTTGTGTCTTTCAAGTCCAGATGAGAAAGTTTGAGAGAAGAGCCATTCATAAAAAGATGAATAAAGCTGATGTTCAATTGTTTCAAGCAGCAGGGATAAGAAAGATTTAGAGTTAGAGAAAAAATCTTGATTTGAACCTTAAGGATGTTGCTTTTAAATGTAATTAAATCTGCTTTTTGTTGTTGCATGATACTGTACATTAATGATGCACATCGCAAAAAATAACTGATAAGAAACCATGAGTTCACATGATTAATTGATATCAGAATCTGGTTAAAGCTCATTTGTAGTCTTACCTCCCACTTACTGTGGTGTTGTACCATTTTAGGGCACTGCAAATATAACTTTGAAATGGGGAGGAACTGTGATAACAATAGATCTATGGACAATTGTTTCCGTTCTTCTGAAGACCCAAATTCTCTGAACTCGAGCTGATTTAAACAAAAAATGAAAAATCCTTTGAGACTGTTTGTCTGGTTGAACTGTGATCAAACTTTAGTGTCACCCTAATTGTATACAGTTGTAAATGTATAAACTCTAGCTGAGTCCTTCTCCCTTCTCTGCCTTGTGTCTTCCACCTAGTTCCCCCTCCCTTTGTTCTGAATCATGATGGCACAAATTAAATTAAAAGCGATCGCAGAGCTGCTTATTCATCAGCTTCCAGATCATTTGAATAACAAAACCCTGTTACAGCGCGTATAAAGTATAAAAGCCGCCTGGCAGCCACAGGTTGTTGGACAGATTCCCACAAACACAGATCATCAAACATGGGCAAGGTATGCACAGAGTGGAATAGAAAACAAGCATTTTTTCAGTTTAGGAGGCACTCAATGTAAACAAGTTGAAAAAGATAAAAGAAAGGTGCATGATACTACATGTTTCAAATGGACACATTCATCATAATCAGTTTGTACTGTTTTTTCTTATCTGCAGATCACCTTCTATGAGGAGAAGAACTTCCAGGGTCGCTCCTATGAGTGCCAGAGCGACTGCTCTGACATGACCCCCAACCTGAACAGGAGCCAGTCCTGCAGGGTGGAGAGCGGCTGCTTCATGGTCTACGATCGTCCCAACTACATGGGGAACCAGTTTTTCCTGAGGAGAGGAGAGTACTCCGACAACATGTCTTTTGGCACGAGTGGCTCTTTCCGATCCTGCCGTCAAATTCCACAGGTATGCAGGTATTTTTTAAAGATTAACATTATTAGAAATGATGTAGTTATTATAATATTGATTTGAAATGGTAGCAGAGCTGTTATTTCTTACAAAAATAGCATGTATTTTATCATCAGATCAGCAAAGTTTCAAGCTTCATGTTGACCCGTCCTCCTCTCTGTAAACAGCACAGAGGATCTTTCAGGATAAAGATCTACGAGAAGGAGAACTTCAGTGGTCAGAGTCATGAGCTGATGGAGGACAGCGATAACATCATGGAGCGTTACCGCATGTCCGACTGCCAGTCCTGCAACGTGATGGAGGGTCACTGGCTGATGTACGAGCAGCCCCAGTTCACAGGCAGGATGATGTACCTGAGGCCCGGAGAGTACAGGAGCATGAGAGAAATGGGATTTAGCGGCCTGAAGCTCAACTCAGTCAAACGTATAATGGATTCCTGTTGAAGCAGAAAAACATAAACGTGTTGAATAAAATAAGAGAAGAATCCAATGTCCTTGTCATTGTGTTGTCTTATATCAAACTAAAGATTGAAGTCTGTGAGCGTTACTCTGAAAAACTGGAGTATAAGGAGATATCATATTCATTCTGATAGTCCCACATTATTATCATTACCACCAATTACATTTACAAAATCAAAATAACACACCAGCTAATAGCGTGCTAGTTTTTGACATACAAATACAGGAATGATAAAAAACGATTAATATATGTATTATTAGGTTGTACACAATTGTTTAATTCACCATACTTGCTGCGATTTAACCTAATGAAAAAACACTTGCTCATGATTATAAATCTATTGTTTTCATTGCCGATTAAACAGGTGTAATCCAAGTCATAGTTTTTGTATTTATCTTCTAGCTAAATGTAATGTAACCAGCTTGATGCCATGCAATTTGATATAGCTATAAGTGCAAGCGCCTATGAAAATCTGTTTTTTAATCAATTAACAGCACACAACTGCAAATAACGTTTTTTTATCCCATCATCTTGTTGAGAGGTTAATATGAACACGCATTTCACATACATATTCATCTGCTGACTATAACGTTATAAATTGTGATTAGAAAAAAAACTCTTAAAAGGGACATCCACTAAATTAACATAGCGTGCAGATTATTACCAAGTGAAAACATTTGTATACTATCCTCTGTGGCACTCAAAATAGTATTTAGGACATCAGCAGTTATGTATAAAGGGTAATGCATTTTTGTTCTTTACCTTTCATATAACCTGCTTCTTGAGAATCCTGCCGCTTAAGATATTTACAATTCTAAATAGCTTGAAACACCTTTTAGACCAATTTTAAATACCTCTGAGTAAACTTTTAACTCAGTTTTATACTGAATTTATTGCTAACTTTTTTTCCAATACGTTTAGCTAAAATTCTATATTATAATAATATAAAATATGCTTTTTAATGCTTCTTTTTTGTATGACATTACAATACATTGATGGAATGTAATGTCAGTATGTATACAATCTAAATGCATCTGCTTTTTACTTGAAGCTCTTATGAAGTTGTATGGTCTTCTCTTCTTTTTTTCTTGTTGTGGTGATCCACACCAATAATTAAATTGTATTCATTATATTGAATGACTATAAATTAAACAATACAAATTAATACAGTTAGATTAACAGTCTAATACAACTACAGTGTACAAATCCTTTACTTACCATAAAAGCAAAATTACCATTACCACAGTGTTGAAATCAAATACAATTCCGGCTATGCATGTCTTAAGTATTTACGGATGATAAGCAAAATGTACTGTTCTCTTAATTTACTTCTTTTTTTCCATAGCACTTTCCAAAACGTTTTATACAGCTCAGCAAATGGAGCAGAGCATAACATGCTGTATGTTCCCTATACACTTTTGAATTGTATGATAAATAAAAACAATATCCATAACAATATAGGTACAAGTACCTGTACTACTGTCACCTCTTAATACCGACAGCAACATGTCACCCACCTGTACCCCACAGCTGAGCCCATGCAGTTGGCACCGCACCAGATGCATACAGTCTAGAATAATAACCCAATTACAGACCGATTTAACAAACTGTTTAGTACACTGCTGAGTAAGATATTCAAAACAAGAGCTCTATAGATAATTTCGCTATCATAAAGGGTATAAAAGTGACACTGAGTGTCAGTACCGTTAGTACCGTCAGGAAAAGG